TATTTCTTCTTCTGAAGGGCGATCAAGGTTTACATTCCATTCACCCGTATGCATTACCTCCACTGGTTGTGTTGCATGAGGCCAGCTGAACTGCTCTTCGAAGTGTTCGGCCCATCTCTCCAGTCGACGTTTTTGCGAGTGAGTTAATGAGCTATCTTTTTCATTTATCGTTTCGCTGACCGTTGCTTTTCTAGAGCCAGTCGATCGTATGAGTTGAGAAAGGGCACGGCTGTTTCCCGTAGCAAAAGCCTTCTCCATCTCCCGAGCTTTCGATATCCACCAGAGCTCTCGGTCTTAGACTCTTCACTATCTGGCGTTTGAGGGATTTGCGTGCGCCGTCGTACTCGTTGCCTGCTGGTATGGCTTTCCTGGCACCAATCATGGATAAGGACCTCGACGACATCCAGTGGTCTTGTGGTCGAATTGGAGAAGTCGGGCAGGCAGCACTGAACGCTGCTAGTATAGCTCCTTTCACATTTTGCCACGCTTCATCCACATGTTCACTGCTACCACAGTACCGTTTTACTGTGGAGAGTTGTTGGGCTAGCTCAGATCGATACTGTTGAGTTATGGCAGTTCTTCGAAGATAGTGGATTGGCATGCTTCTTGACGACTTGCCAGGGCCTGAAAGGAAACGAACTGTCAGGCGTGCGCGCACCACGGCGTGATCGTGTCTAGGCTTGGGCAAAGTGGCAGCATCCTGGCCTTTGTGCTTCCTCCTGGTGGCATGGCAGTTATGCGTCGAAAGGGTACCACAGCTGAACAATTGGGGACCCTACCCAGAGCCGACGACTCAACAGTGTGACCTGCTCGGCTGTAGGGGGTTGGCCTAACCCGAGGGCGCAGGGAATAAGGCATTGCTGTCTCATTCCTGATGCGGCTGCGCACATCAGGTGCCTTTTGAGGAGCACCGGGCTCTTTGGTTTTAAAAGTATTTCAACCGTATTGGATAATGCGCCGGCGGTCATGGTCAACCGTTGGGCGATCGGAATGTGCGGTTTTTGGGGCCGACCTCGTCTAACCCATCCTTCCTCGGGGGAAGGCAGCATCGCTGCTTCCATAAATATGGACGTGCTGGTCCCCTGTGGGGAACACCTTACTGCCCTAACACTCCTGTCGGAGAAGACAGGATTTCACCCCCAGACTGTCCTGTAGTACGATTACTCGTGGTATGGGGTCTCGCTGCTCCTCTTTGGCTTTCCTGGCATGGTTGCACCTTGTGGAACGAAGTTCCAGCCAGTGTAGCCCGCGGGATCATTGCAGCACTGAAGTCCGACCACCACGTCAAGGTGGCAGCTTTAGGTTGCCGAAATCTAGACAGAAGAACGATTAGGGTTCTCAACCAAAGCCTTTGGCTCAAAAGCCTGACCTAAAAACAGTAGTAGTCGGCGTGAAACTGATAAAGGAGCATAGAAGTTAGGGAAGAAATGGCCAAATTGGTTCCAATTCCCAATCTACGATGTACGGAATAGTACGTTAGAAGGAACACGTGAAAGGCTCGAGAGGATAGCCTTTGAACAGCAAGTAACGTCGTTGATCCCCGAACTGTGTTGCGTTCTTCATAGTGGGTTCGATTTTCCACTACCGGAATTCTACATTCTGGTAGACCATCACAATGGACTTTGAGCTATCTACTTATCTGTGGACGACGATTTATGCTACACTGTCGTTTCAGGGAATGGTAGCACTCCTTCGCTTTTTAAAGAATTCCATTTTCGATGTGTTACTGCAATACTTATGGACCATTTAGCTGAAAACCATGTTTGGAAACCTGAATTACGTTGAGAATAAAATTGTATGCACCGACAGGAATCATTTGCATTCTCGGTGCTTCAGTTCATGGAAGCCAAAAACACGGATTTCCCATTCTGGTCTTCGTTTAAAGGGATGTCGCCTCTTGAAGACACCTAGGACGATCTTTTGCAGGGGTTATCTTCCAAAAGATGTCAATCAGTCTCACGAGACCGGAGTAAAGGGGTCATGATTGGGGAATGGTTTGTTTTGTGAAGGGGGGTACTCGGGCAGAGTACTGTTTGTAAAAGCAAGTTGACAAGATGTCGGAAAGCTTTACTGAGAGCTTTATTGAGACCATAATTGTACTATCAACGTTTACGTGTACATTGTTAGGCTCCCCGTGATTGGTGCTGATTCGATTGGCCAGGAAAGGTCTTAACAAGGCCCTAGTAATTGCAGTGACACCGCATACAGGAACCTAGTTAACGATAGCTCACCCAATTCGTGGTGCGCTGGAAACGCCTTATGCATTGTCTGATAATGAATGGTTCCCATATGGTCCTCGAAGTAACGCTTTAGATTAACCCAACGCATCTGCTGATATGTAGTCACTTGAAACGAATTGGTACTTTTGTAAACAATTTCCGCATTCACAATCTCCAGTGGCACGTTCATCGATTAATGATCCCAATCTTAATTTCTGACGCCTGTACTGATAAACGAAAATCCCTAAATCCTCATTCGATAATGCTTAAATGGACACCAACAACATCGCAACGTAGAAATACGTAATCAGTAGTGTAGTATGAAGTGCGAAGTCATGCATTTAATAAGACAGCAGCGGCCAGTGAACGTGATATGTGGGGTACTGTCTTGTAATAAATAATAAAGATTATCGTTTAGCTGTAACACCCTTTCGGTGCCTAAGTGCTGAGGAGCTGAACAGTTTGAAAGCTACAGGTCTACGAAGAAAAGAGGAATTCTACAGATGGAGATAATTTTAAGAAACTGCTAACGCGCTGATGACGTTGCTTTCGACAGAAAATCCGGAAACCGAAAGTGTCGTGAACATTGATCATGTCCGGTCAACTATAATGCGGTAAAGTTGATAAAGTATTCATCGACACAGTAGGTTACTGAAAAGGTGACTGCCATTCGATTTGCTGGGACAATTGTCCTGTGATGTGTACCACAGGGACATAACGAATTTTTTCGGACGACCGTACGCACAAGTGCCGCTCCAGCCGCGGCGGGAAAATTGAAAAATCGCCTTCAACACCTAGAGAAGGAATAGAGGTATATGGAAGACTTGTGATTGAATACAATGCAAACCTAAGGCAGTCTGGATAGCGACTGTCCAGAATTATTTAAGTGATCATTTGAAGAAAAGAAAGCGTCGTTTTTAAATGCTCCTACCACATCAAGTATGCTTAGATTGAATGTAATGACTATCACTTTGTATGTGAAAGTAGGGAACTTTGTTCCGCTCATAATTTTTCCTCAATTTGACTGTAGACATATATGCACATATCGCACAAGCGGCAATGAGAAGCCAATGGACGGAACTCTAAATTACGGAAAGCCAGTGCCACAAACCTGTCCCAGGCGACTGGATCAGAAGGATCTGCGGCGGAAAAGCCGTCCAAACTGCCCCATATATTGGGCACAAATTAACCTAGCAGTACACAGTCGAACAGAAAGCGTCCGATTTCTAACTACAAGGTGGGCAGCTTCGTGATTTAAAGATGAAAACGTCCAAACGATAACATTTGTTTCCGACTTTGGAACCCCGGAAATTGAGGTTCGAACAATGCTCGCGGATGAAAAGGAATGCGCTATTTCCGATTCTGTGTGCGAACAGAGGATGCCCATGTAACCACAAAACAGTTAGTACTAGCTCCGGAGGAGAACTTCAAGATCCCAGGATTTATGAACTTAAAAAACAACGAAAACCTAACAAAGGGTTGAAAAAAGTGACCGGACGTAATCGCCTATTAGGCTCACTTCTGACAGCAGGCGCTTAAGTCCTTCAAGCTCTTCCTCGCCTGGATTCAATTCTCCACCAGGTAGTTTGAAAAAGGTGCCAAGTTGAAGCAACAGGACGTGTGGCAAATTGTGTTCATGTACCAGAAGCACTCCCTCAACTGAACGGCGCATTCCATATTTATCAAAATCCTCTTGCAAACGCTGGAATCGAGCAGGGACACTACGATCACGCTCATAGTTGGGATCTTTGGTACCGAAACTGTAGCTCTTCAGTGGATACCTGAAAAGTGCATCCAAAGTGTGTTTGATATACACATATGATATCAGACACTGGTCAAACTAATATAGTGAAGAGCAAAGACGACTGGTGAAGGGGAAAACTGGGTGGAGGCGAACGGTATTTTTTGGGTGAGTATCGTTTTATCAAGAGGACAAATACAAGAAAAGATTGGCATTGGTGAAAGAAGAATGAACCACTGAAACACTGAGAGCGATCAGCCCCCTAACTTACAAGCACAAAAGTGGACGCTCGTATTTGCTACCCCTACTGTTCAAAAGACCTTAAAGGGAATTGAGGGCTGATTTGATTCATCGACACGATAACTTACGCATCCGATTCAGTGATGAGCGAACCCTCGAAAGACTTGGAGTTGAGGTATAAAAACTAGTGCTACTTTGATATGTTAGAGATGCTTCTATCTTGAGGACAGAAGCGCCAAACTAACCGTTGCTAAGTCGTTTTCACCAGAAGTACGGCGGAAGAAGAGTCAACGAGCCAAACCATCCTCCGACATGAGAAGTAGGTGGCCTAACCAGTGCAACCAGTCAAAAATCGAGAATGAATCGTCCTTCGTGAAGAATGCCCTCAATAGTGCTGATCTGATATTCCCACCAGACCAACGCAGTGGTTCAGAGGCAACGAAAGTCAAACATGGAGATAAATCTGGCATATTTTACACCTAGCGGCCACATTGCTGATCCATACAGTAGGATAGATAAAGTCGCAGCATTGCACGCTTTACCAGTTACGAGTGAAAGGATGCCATGTCACAAAAGTCCGAGAGTGGATTCAAAAACGGATGAGATAGAGAAAAGCGATCACTGTTGGTCGTCGGAAGGATTGGTGTGTCTCCAAAATTAGTATAATGTGAAAACAAGATCAATGCAACCCCGATCAAGGCGAAACTTATCTTGATTCTCGCGAGTCCGACTCCCCTGATGATTGATCCACCTGCATAGGATAGTATCAGAGAGCGCCTTGGAAGTTATGGTCACTACACCGATGCCTCGTTGGCTTTCGCATGATAATCTTGCACGTTCTTACAATATGGTTTATTCCATCTTTGTCTTCCATATATCCTCCCAACTATTTAGTTGGGTGCACTAAGGAGCCCAGAAAGAGCTTTCTTAAGTTGCCTGTCTAAGAACTGGACCGGTTTTAAGCTCCGTATCACCAAGGTAAGTAACAAACAGCCAACAAAAAATTGAACCCGGGGGAGCCACGCTATTTTCATTTCTGATGTCAACCCCAACTGGAAAGTTCGTTGTCACAGTTAGGTATGATGTTCCTAGTGTTTTCTCCGCGTTTATCTCCCTCAACTTCTCCAGACCGGCTCCGCTATAGTTCCAAGCCCTTGAAGCCTTTACAAAGGTGGATTTTCGCCCCGTCTCCAAAATGCCTCCACATCCGCTCGGTTTTTTCTTTTCCTGCGGATCAGTTTTCACCCAACGCTAGAATATCGCCCGTATGTTAGGAATGAAAACTATGAATCTTCATAACATGCTGCATCACTTTGGGAGCAAACTTTACACTGCCCACAAGCTGTCGCTTCCTGACAACCTGCATCACCGCACATATCTGCGAGGGTTAGCTTATCACTTTGCTCAACCGAAACTATGGAGGTTAATTATTTTAAGAGAGCTTCGGCGGTGTTGCGGTTTCATAGTATTTTGTCACATTACTCGGTTCCGTCTGGTAGAAATTAACTCCTTGACACACTCGAACTATGCTACTTCAGCGAACTGCCCGCACACCTTACGGTGTTTCTGCCACCAAATCACAGTAGCACAAGCAACGTGTGGCATTGTTTTTTGTGTTACAACTATTTGTCCATTGAATAGGTCCAGTTGTTGTAAAGTTCACTCTTCACCGCAATTTCACGAGGCTTGCTTAGCAGGAAAACTAAACTTGGAGAATCGAAGCAGGCTATGTTAAATATGCCCTAGTATAATATCGACCTAGCAACAGCAGAAAGGATGCACTTCGATACACTAGTAAAACGAGCGAAAGGTTCACGCCTGGTCAAAATAAACTAGAGACGAACTCACAAAGTGATTGTCTTGGCGACAGGGGTCGATTGCAGGAATTTCTCCGAAGAGCCTTTCGGCCATCCTGTCATATGGACCATCGTGTGGTGATATCGAGTAAAAAGTGCTGGAAGGGACGTAAATTATGAATAGGTAGTAGATATGATGGCAACCTGAGCCGATGCACAGTGCATCAAGTAATCTGGCCCGTATGTGAATACAGGGATCGGATTATGTTTACAAACTTTTGGGGCATACCCTGTTGAGCAAGTGTAGTTAACATTACTCATCGATCAACATATTGTGGGTCGTCTGTACATGTGGCGTTGCTCTAACATCTGACGGAGTGCGAAGATGTGATCAACGCAGCCTCTACCCGGTCGAAATCCCGCTTGATTCTCACGAGTCAAGACTTCGCGTGCCGCCATAAGACGACGAAGAATCAATGACGCCAGAAGCCTTGTCACAACAGGCGTCAAGCTAACACCTCTGTGGTTGCTACATTCACTGCGAGTACCCTTTTTGAAAACGGGCACCACTATCGATTCATCCCAGTTGTCTGGGACGGTCTCCTCCCAGATAGATCCAAATAGGCTAGACAGGCACTGGCTGAGGAATCCACCGCATATCAGGGAGCCATTTTGGTCCCTGATTGTTTCGCTGACGAAGGTCTTCGAGGACCAGTCGGACGAATCAAGTGGAAAAACCTACGCACGCTTCCAGCATTCTTGACATCTTCCATTTCTTCGGCCTTTCGGGTCAACCAAGCTTCTCGGTTTGCGCGGACGCTCATTTTCACCTGGCGTCGGATGATGCGCCAGGTGTCGTGGTGGTGGCCAGGTGGAATATGTCGCCGCGTCTCCAGCAAAGACAGTGAAATCAACTTTTCAGTCAATGATCGATTTTACGATGCTGCGGTGTACTCCATACTGTTATACGGGTGAGAAACTTGGCCGTCGCACGCTGAGGACGTCAAAAGACTTTCAGTGTTTGGACCTCAATGTCTTCAGATGTTGCCCGCGAGTCTGGTGGATACACTTCATCGGCAATGCTGAAGTACGTCAAATGGTTTTCCGAAGAGATAACTCATCCAAGTAGATGAATTGATCACAGTCCACAGGTTGCTTGACCGAATGCTCCGTATGTCGGTCGACCGACTTCCTCGAAGCGCTCTTTTGTCACACTCATGTGAAGGGTGGAAACAAACCAGGGGAGGTTAAACAATGACTTAGCAGTGAAGTATAAAAGCCATTACCAGCAAACTCAGTTGCGCTGGTCATTGCCGTCTCCCTGGATAGGGATCCCGAGACAGGGCACATCAATAGTTCGAGACATTGTCAGACATGGCCCAGTCGCATCCTCAATGGCGCTCGTGCGTTCAAGCTATTGCTTTCAATGCATAGTTCCCCACCCAATCTCCCGAATTACAATTCAACTGATAGCCCTGTGTTTACGCATCAATTATATCAGCGACCGCCCCGAATGCGCAGCCTCCACAAACCATCGGTGAACGAAATTGTGGCAGCTAGAACTACTGTACAGAAAGCATGCGGTTCTTACAGATGATAATGATGATGATGACGATGATAAAACGTGATGCTGGCTGTCGGAAAAGAGGCCGATAGGACCACCTGATGGACAGCGATAAAACAATAAAAGTAATTATTCCTTCTGTGGTTGGATATCAGGCTATCCAAAAGGGGCGTGTTGTATATTTGCAAACCATCGGTGAATTTCAAACGTTTCAAACGTTTTCAAACGTTTCAGCTGTGTCAAAGTTTTGGATGAATAAGGCCTAGCTTACGAACCTTCAGTGTTTTCCAATTTTGATCTGATTGTCGCTGCACTTCTTCCTTTGTCGAACACAATGAATTATTCATCTAATTTTTTTATCGAATAATCGACCGATTCTCGCGTCCTGAACGATTCGATACCGATCTCAATACTCAAGATTCGGCAGATACCTGGGCGCATTGGTTTTGTACTTTCGCGAACTTCATAGAGTCAGTTGGTTCTCATCCACCAGATAAACTGAAAACCTTCTTCAATTACGTTGTCCCTAGTGTTTACCGACTGATTAAAGACTGCAAAGACAGTGAATCTACAATAGCGATCTTGCGGGAAATTTATGTTCTACCGGAAGATAAAATTTTGCCGGGCATCTTTTGAATACTTGTAGGCAGGACGGAACCTTGGTCAGCTTGTGCAAAAGCTTCCCAGTTCGTTGCCAGATTGCCGCTTTACGGCTGTCAGTGTAGAACAGTATAGCGACGAAGCGTAACGAGACGCTTTTAATAATGGATTTTATTCGAATACTATACGCCAGACTGTTTGGACATAGGCGGCTGGATTTTAAAACCGCCTACGAACATGCAAAATCCCTCGAACTAGCGAAAGAACAGTCGCTGTCGTTTTTGCCGAACAATCAACTCCTCTGTGCTACCGTATCGAACGACCCACCAGAGTCTCCATATCGCCAAGCATCAACGCATGAACAGACGACTGCTACTAGCGTGGGGTCTTCATGTTTCTTCTGTGGCTATGCTCGTCACCCGCGTTATAAACGCCTCGCTGAAGATGCTACCTGCAAAAATTGTGGAAAGAAAGGACATTTTCAAAAGGTATGTGTGCGGAGGAGTGTCTGAAGTAAGCTGAGATCGTGTTGTGAAAATCGGGTAGTTCGATGTCGAGATTAGGAAGAGAGAAGGGCGTAATGTACGCTTTAGTAGTCTAATAACGGTAGTAGATGAACGGAAAATATAGAGTGAGAATGACGAGTCAATGGTGTGTGCAGAGATATGGTTTACATAGTCATGAGACGTGTGACCTGAAACCATGCAAACTTCATTGTTGAGGTTCTATTCACAGCTTTTTAGAGTGTCCTCCTACTCAACTGAAACGGTGTCGGGCTCTAAAACCCAGCTGGTGGTTAACTGGTTAATAGCCTAGAGGAACTAGCTAAATATCGAGCCCGAACCAAAGGTAAGAACAGTAGTCAACCCGGGCGGATAAGACGGAATGCAACGGCAATCACCACGTATCCTCCGCTCTCCCACGGGTCACACGTGCCCGAGGAGAGGCTAAAGGTGCATCTTCTGGTAAAATTTGGCTGGCATTGAGGACGTCGTTCTAACATCTCCGTGAAATACTGGTGAATGACAATCACCGCACACCCCACGCTACGTTATCTCTGGAAGACGACGGATGTTCTGCAATCCTACCGACTGGGGTAATGCAGGAACAGTCCGCCAATAATGGAAATATTTTCATTGGCTCCTGGAATTTTCAGAAATTTCCCGAAGTCTGAAGTCAAGCTGTTATCATGAGAGCACGGAATGACCGGAATGCAGGCCAGAATCCATCATGATCTCCGGCATCAACCACCTAAACCGGCCCAATCACAATGGACCACAGCATGTCTCTGCACAACGGAGAGATAAATTCACCCCACGCCTACAATGCCCAAGTTCAACTCAGATCATTAAGGCTGACGAGACACAACTATGTACCAGCTATTACAGTGTTCATCACCGAAATATCGAAACAAGGAAGGGATAAACAGGTGTAACACAAATAACAGTTGCGACACCATTACGGAGCATAGCCAGCGTACCACTCGAAGGAAGCACAGGAATTGAGCTCATCCCAGGGCGCTCCAGCTTAGACAAGAGCAGCTGAGATGCCGTGGTTGGGTTACAAATAAGGAACTTCCGGTCAATGGGTCCGCTGAGTTACTGAGTTACCTCGGGGTCAAGCGTTGGTGGTGGTATAATCAGTTAGCTAGTACTGAATCACTTTGTAAGTGCAAGATAGCTCAGTGCTTGGAGCGCGAATTTACTAACCGTAAGGTCCGTGGTTTGAACCCGACCTCTGCCTCTCGACTTCCCCTGTCTAGGCTTGGGCACCCTGGCACTATCCGAGCCCTCGTGCCTCATTCGTGTGGCATGGCAGTTAGGCACCGAAAGGGTGCTACATCTGAACAATTTTTCGGTCACTGACTATCCGGTGAAAGAGTAAATTGAGCAACAAAGCACTGAAGAATATAATAATCGTTCAGCTGTATCAGCTTTCAGTGCCTAGCTGCCACGCCACCCAAAGGAAGCAATAGAGCTGGGATCCTGCCAGGTTACTCAAGTCTAGACAGGTAGGTCGAGAGGCAGATGTCGAGTTTGAACCAAGGACCTTACGTCAGCAAAGAATACAGTATTGACGCAAGGCAAGATCGCCAGTGGACGTGATTGGGCCATGCTTACCAGCGTCAATAATCAGTTCCAAGTTCCCTATCACAGGAGATAGCAGTCCCCAATCCAACTGAGTTTATTGGTTGTTGATCAGGTGGCTGTTGATCTGTTCGCTGAGCTTGGCAATTGGCTTGCGAAGGTTTCGTCACCATACGGGAAAACATCATCAGTGCGCAGCTGGGTGCATACCCTTGAACGTCATGCAATTATCCGAAGTTTAAATGTGAGTAAAATCGTGGTCGTTAGTTACTGGTATGGTTTTTTCAGACATCCGTGGGACCGGCTAATCCTGACGAAATCAAGTGGTCGATGGCATGGACGATCAGTACCAAGAACCACCAATGTGCCTTCCGGCATGTCTTCACTATTAACATGATTGCGTGCTTCCCGCAGGTTTCGAGCCAGACAACCGCAATCTCTCCGGATACAAACAACGTTGATGATCTGCGTCGACCTGCATAGTTTCGACGGGTCTGCACAATGGCAGGATCGAAATAGAGTTCCTTACACCAGAAGATGTACGGCAGTGAAGCATCGGTGTTGAACAGTGATGTCACGCTGTCAGTGATGATGATGACACCAGAAGACTTCAGTTGAAGAGCTCAAACGGTACATCCACCTGATTCAAATGAGTGCGGGACTGGTTTGTGGTCGGTGGTCTCCAAGTAACAATACGGGTGGCTGTATTGAAAGGTCGCACTAAAAAGGTGTTTAGAAAACGACTTGGAAAGTCACCCTAATGCGGTTATGACCAACTATGAGTTCACTAGCCGACAATGCCTCGTCCACCTTGTTCGTTCATATCACCCACGAGGATCCGTCCTCGCCGATCTAAGGAATACGAGAGTTCTTGACTTCAGAAATGCGGCCTGTCGCCGTGTATGTTG